CTGTAGTTTGTGTGAATGCTGCCTTTTCTTCAGGGCTGTGTAAAGAAGGGATGCAGTGGCTGTTTTGCACCATGTGCATGTGGAGGAGGTGATAGAAAGGATGTCTTCACTCCAGAGGGCACCATGGCTGTGTCTGCCCTGCCTGCAGAGCCAGCCCCTGCACAGTCTGCAGGCACCCGAGGGTGGAAGCAGCTGAGCACAGACTGCCTGGGAGTGTTACGGACCCTGAGTACCCAAACAGGGTTGTCTCTGCTTCAGCTGATGCTGAATATGGCCATTTTTTATCAAAAAAACCTCAATATTGCATTTTAACTTATCCAAGTTTTACAGAGAAGACAGCAAACATCTTCCACCAAAGCAGTGAAATTATGACTGTATCTGTTCTGTCCAACTCACTGTCGGCTCTTCAAAGGAGCTGTAAGAAAACTGCAAGTAAACTTGCAGATGTAGGAGAGCAGATACAGGTCTGAATTGGGCTGGGAAGTACTCTGTAAATATCTGAACAATATCTCAGTACTCAATATCTAGAGAGAATCCTTCTCAGTTACATCACCATTGATTTTTGGAAATGAATAAGTGTCACTGGGAGCAAAATTTGGCCCATACAACTAAGTAATAAATATATTTCTGCAGGAAGTGTATTTATAAACAAAGAGTGAGCCTTGGATCTTCAAGTTACATTTGCAAAGCTACTGCCTGAAAATTGGCATGGTTCCTTCCAGTCAAGTGATCTTGGAGACAGTTTTGCTGCATCACAAACTGCAGTAGTATCTCTGAGGCTTTGGAAATGAAACACCAGTTGTCTCTGCAAACAGGATACTATTTGAGAGTTTTAATTGGAACCAGTTGTGTTTGAAGATTCAGGGCTAACCCAAGAAAGCTATTCAAGATCTACCCACAGTGTTCCCCAGATACACAGGGGTGAAGAGCTTACTGAGATCAAGGCCCAGCATGAGATTCTGCTCTGAACTTGAACTAAATTGAACAGATCTTTTTGTGTATATTATGTTTTGAAGACATTTGAGTGCTTCAGATATGTTCCTTCCTCTCCTCCCGGTCATATCAAGGACTAGATGCAGAAATATTACAAGACAAAAGGGGAATTGAGTCACAGAGAAGCTGAATGCCATGTATTTAAAGTCAGTGTTTGTCTTCTCACTTAACAAAAATGGTGATTGGAAGAGATAAGAAGGAAGGAAATGGATGTTGGGTCATCTTCTATAACCCTATAATGTTTCTGTAGAAGGAACGGACTTGGCTGAGAATTTAATTTTAGCTTTTGCCATTTGGCTGGGAAGCTCTAGCTAACACACTCAAATACACTCTTGCATTTTAGTACAACAGTCTGTCTCTTTAAATGCTTCCTTAAAGCCCATGGGCAGTGACAAGATTTTTCTCTGGAACTGGGTAGTTGTTGGTCACCTGTCTTCTATATTGCACAAGTGTGATTATCTTACAAATTTCTTTTTAAAGAGTTACCAGCACTGCCTTGGTTGCACTAATGGAGTCCTTGAGGACTGAGATGAGGAAAATCCTGTTGGTTGTGCACTCCTTTCTCTTGGTGAGCACCAGCTGGCCTCTCTACAAGCTGTGCCTGCTGACAGCCTGGGTGGCTCTCATGGCCCTGGTGGGTATGGGCAAGTGCTCCGGTAGCTGTGTTTTTTCAGCCTACAAACCAACCAAAACAAACCAGCACAAACCTACCAAAAAAATTCTACACCTCAAAACTCCCAAGCAAGGAAAAAAATTGAAATAGAAAAAAGAAAAGAGAGAAGTTAAGAAAGAGAAAGAGAAATAAAACCAGAATTTGATTGACTGAATATATGGATATGCCATAGTAATTTCCAATAGACGGAAAGTGTGTTTGATGGAGTTAGTCAGAAGTAGATTAGCAGGACCAGGGAATTGTTATGACAGGAAAACCTGGCCCCAGAATGGAGTATAACTTGAACTGACATTTCTCTGCAATGTAAACCTGAGAGTTTTCCCAGCTGAATATATCTTATTGCCCTGCATTAATTATAAGTTTTCTCCAAGCTTGGGATGGAGTAAATCAGTACAAAACTCTTAAAATATGACAGTCTTATGTGATAGTGAATGTTCTTTTGTCATGATGCAGTGGTACATGAAAAATCTCTAAATTAGAATGAATAGAAGAGCAGATAGATTCCTCTGATCAGGAAAACCATAAATTTTAAGTCTCTTGGTGTGTATTGCTTTGTGATTTGCTTTAGTCTTGATTTAGACCAGTTTTAGAAAGTTAATATCAACCGTTAAACCTTCCAGGCTATCTTCCCCCACATTTTTTTTTTTTCTGGTTTAGAAGTGAATAAAAGAGCTTTGTACAGTTCTTGAAACTGAGCCTGAAACAGCTCTGAACAAAATATAGTGTTCCTTTCAAAATCTTGGAAATAATTACATCATAGGCAAATTGGGCCAGGAACCGTTAATAGTATTCTTTGTGGGATGAAATCCCACGGGAGGACCTATTTCAGCAGACTGGCATTGTTTACAAATAGATGCAGTGACAGGTACAGTTGTCCCATTCTGAGGCACAACTGAAACTCTGGCCTATAATGGGCTCCTCAGCATAACTGCCTTGCTTTTGATAACAAGCTGAAAACATTGGTGCTCTGTAGTCATCTTCACACTGATCATCCTGGGAGGGAAGGCTGTATTTGGCACTGGAAAACTATTTGTAGGTGGCTTAAAGAGAAACTAAAAGCCTTGCTTGCATAAGCTCCTGGTCTTTGAGAATTGCTGGAGGAACAGAGAGCTGTGTCCAGATGTCTCTGCTGGGCTTCATAAGCTAGGAAGTCTGCACAGAAACCTGGGCATCACAGACCTTCTCTTCACCAGGATAACAAACAGAGCATGCCTGGATCTCCCTGGTACTGTACAGTAGTTTTCATTACTGGCTCCTGCCCTCCCTGCTTCCTTATTAGAAAACCTTCTGCATTTCAGGATGGAAATCACAAAGATTAGTAATATTAACTGTTTGACCTCAATCTACAAAAGCATTTAGTTCTCTAGGTAAGTAGGCTAGTCTGTACTTGAAAACTACACTGGCACAAACTCTGGTGTGGGCACAATTACTGCTGTTCCTGGGTGATACAAAGCACTTTACTGCCTGTGTACATGCTTCTACAGGAGGGTGAGCTGTGTTCCTTCATCACCAGAGCATGTTTTTACCTGGACAGTGGGACTGTGGGAGCAGAGCCTTCTCTTGGGAGTCAGACACATGCTGGGGACCATGGTTTTTCTGAAGGATCACTTGTGCTTTCCCAGATGGTGGTGTCCAAATGACAGACACATCTTTCTCTCTGACAGCTGCCTCCAAGACATGACTCCATTAGTTACATGTGTGTGATCTTTTCCATGCTTTTAGGCCTGAAGGCAAAGCTCTAGAGAACACCACCTGGTCAATGGCTGCCTGGGGTTCAGTGTTACCTGCAGTTTCAGGTGGAAGTGAGCAACCCCATGGTGTAGGGGAGGTCTGGCAACTGAACAGCCTATGATACAAATCCTCTTAGGATGGTGAACACTACCAGGTCACTAATTTAACACAAACCAGTTGGAGGCAGCTGTGAAGGTGCTCATTCAAACTGCTCCCCTGATGGAGGTGAGCAGCTGGAGTTAGTAGCAGCTTCAGGTGTGTGTTTGTGAATTGGGATCTCCAGGATCACTGCTCCATGCTGTCTGTACTAGGGACAGGACTGGGACCCAGCTGTTGCTAGACTTTCAGCTGTGTGACCTTGGGATGGGTCTGTGGGATCCCATGGAGATCTACATATCCAGGGACAGATGCAAACTAGAGGTTTGATGGTATATTTCATTTGTTGTTATTTTCACTGGACTGGTGTTTTTAATCTCAAATCTGGCTTTTTGGGATTTAATTTAGATGAAATTAAAAAGGTAAGTCAACTAATTTGAAAATGTGATTATTTTATGTGTGGTAATTTTAAAATAATAACAAAGGCTAAAATAACCATGTCATGAAAAATAGTCTAAAGTGAACATATCTAAATGTTTCAGTTGGTCATTTAGCTTTTACTTGTAAGGTAGCAGCAGTTAAGGCAATGTGGATTTCATTATTTCCTATTAATGTACCACTCATAAATCTGAAAAAATTGCAGTTATATCAAAATAAATTTAGTTGCTGAAAATGTTACTCTCCATTCTAATAAAAAAACAAAAGCAACCCAAGACCAGCCATGCAACCCCAAAACCTCTCAACTGTGGCAGCTTTACTTGACCAAAGGAAGAGCAGCTGCTGTTTGAAACTTCAGGACCTCTCTCTGTGTGACAGTCACCATGTTTGGTTCATACTTCTGAAAAAAACCCTACATCTTCCATAGCTGAAAAGCAAGTTGCTTCCCTTTAAATTTAAGAGAGTAGCTAATGAGGGCAATAGCTTGTGTTACCTGTGAATCAGCATGAGGAGAGATCCAGGACTCATTCACAGTGATGTGCATGTGCCTTCTTCTAAAAGGAGCCACATTGACAAGATGCCTATAGTATCATAACGTTTAAAAAGTACAGCCCATATAATTTCTGATCTGTCTGAAATTATACTCTATTTTTGGGTCTTAAACCAGTTAATTTTATGAAGTGTTGCTTGCTACCCATATCCCCTCAACGAGGACCTTGTTTCTTACATAATAAAAAATAATTGACTACAATGCCAGGTAGTTTCAGTACATCATTTAACTTTTACTTTGGAAGTCTGTTTGAGAGGAAAATTTGGATTGCAAACAATTACAGGGAAATAATTATAAATAAAAACTGCAAAAATGTGTAACAGGGATACAGAAAAAACTGTATTTTAATGGTAATACCTTGCTTTATTTACAGTAAACAGCAGCAACCTTATTCAGATCAGACTTCTAACAGAGAGATTTTCTCATGCCACCAGAAAGCTTTTTGTGCCCTCTTTCCTGCCCAAGCCACCAGCCTTGGCATCCTCCCCTGACAGGCGTGTTTTGTGTTGTGCTTTGCAGGAGGCTGTGAGGGCTGCTGAAGATGTCCGATAGTCTGGATATTGAAGAGAAACCTCCAGCTCCACCGTTGAGAATGAACAGCAACAATCGCGATTCTTCAGCATTAAACCACAGCTCAAAACCGCTTCCCATGGCCCCCGAGGAGAAGAACAAGAAAGCCAGGCTGCGCTCCATCTTTCCAGGAGGAGGGGATAAAAGTAAAGTATCAGCAGTGCAGATGGGGGGCTCCTTCTCTGGGCTTTCTGGTGGTCATTGGTTTTCGTGTTTATTTTCTGCCACTTTTCTCTCTGTTTCGGTTGCAGGCCATGGTCCCAAATCCTTCTGTTCCAATTACTCTAGAAACACATTTCAAAAGAGAAGGAGGTGTTCAGTCAGTTACTTTCTTGTCTATGAAAAGACGCTAAAATGTGCACACATTGTGAAACTTGCCTTTTAAAAATAACTTTATGGTTATACTGGGGAATCCTTTCCTTTGGATTTTGCTTCGCATTAGCAGTAAATACAGAGATGAGGATGTGTCCTTGTGAAAATACATTCCCAGAAGTGACATGGCAATATGCCTGACACTTTGGGATTTTTTTAAATGCACTTACATTCCAAGAACAGGAACAAAGCTCTTCTTTCTTGTTCCTTTTGCAGCGAAAGTGGATTCAGAATGGTTTGGTTTATAACCAGCTAGGTGTGGATGCAGCAAGAGAGTCTTAAACATGCAGCAAACAGCATTTCCTTTGCATTCTTTGAAATGCATTTGTGGAAAGGAGTGTGTTTTGAGTTAGCATATTTACAGGTTTAAGGGAAGGGATCTTCTTTATTTCTAGTGCCATGGGAACCAATGGGCTGCACTTGCAAGGCTGATGTCACTGCAAGGCCACTCTTGATTATCTTTGGAGGGTTGGGGTCACTGGAGGACATTCCTGATGATGGAAACAAAGCAAATGTCGATCTGGGGAAGTGCAGGCCAGATCGGGAAGGTCCTTGGGAAGGTGGTAGAGAAAATCCTCCTGGAAACCATTTCCATGCAAATGAAGGATAAGAACTTGGTCAGGAATAGTCAGCATGGATTTGTGGAGGGGAATTCATGCTGAACTGTACTGACAGCCTTTTACCTTGAAGTGACAGGCTTGGTGGTGAAGGGAGGGCAGTAGTTATTACTTCTGCTTTAGTGAGGTGTTCAGCAGAGCTTCTCACAGTATCCTCACAGTCAGACTGGTGAGGTACAGTATAGGTAAGTGTACAGTGAGGTAGACTGAAAACTGGCTGAAATGCTGGACTCAGAGGTTGTGGTCAGCAGCATGAAATCCAGCTGGATCTCAGGCGTGATTCTGTCTTCAGTGTCCCTCCAAGGAGAGCTCAGAATTATGCAACTGTGTCATTCCCTTGGAGCTCCAGCTTACCTGTGCTGCCTGATTCATGAGGCTTCATGAGGTTGTGTGGAGCAGCTGGAGATGGTCTGGCATTCAAAACTCCTCCCAGGCAGTAGAAGGCACAGTGGCAATCCCGTTCCTTCCCTCAGCCACGAGCAATCTTGATGACTTTTCTGATGTGAGGGCTGTAACTGGATGGGCCCATTTCTTAAGCAGACCTGGCCAGTTCACTCTGCAGATTGTTCCCCCAAATGTCCCCTTCTGGGAACAAAATTAATTTTCAAATGATTCTTCATAAAGGACAAAATGAAGGTTTCTCCCAGCTTGATTAATTCCTGGAAAAACTTGGATCACTTCTTACCCTAAGTGCTAGCAGGATGGTATTATCCTGTTCTGAGGAAACATTTCCTGATGAGGAGATGCTGTGTAAAATGCATGCAGAGAAGGGGAGACCCAGAAACAACCCCTCCTGGAAATGATCAGTGACATTAAAAATGAAATTAACTACCAGTCAGAACAATCTTAGGGAACATGCAAGTGTCATGATTTTAAATGTGACCATGAGGAAAAGTCAGGTAAGATTTATAGCTTAATTTTGTGAGGTGAAATAATAAATGGAGGAAGTTTAACTTGACCGGCCAAGTCCCTTGAGGTAGTTTCACTGCAGGGTTGGTTTGTGGGTCAGGGTATCAGCTGGCCTGTGTGTGCTTCATAGACTCTGTGACACATTTTTGAGACTCCTGCTTATAAAACAGGTGATGGATATGTCTGCTCTCATCTAGTACAGTGCTTTGCAGCATCACAGTGTTAAATCCATAGTTCATTACTGCTGCAAGTCACTAGAATGTGAAGAAAACACCATGGCAGGGTATTTCTGCCTGAGCCTGCAGGAACTTTGTTGTCTTTCATTTGCTCACCAGACAGGAGGGATGTGAGGATGGATATGGTACAGTGTGTTCTCTCCAAGGCTGTGGTGTGTGTCAGGACTGCGGTGCCTGGGCACCAGGAATCTTTTGCAGTCCCTCCACTGCTGGAGTGCAGCATTTTCAGTTAGAATTTGAGCACTTGTGTTTAAAACCTTGTTTTGGCAAGCCACTGATGGCTCTGTGGAGCCCTTCTGTGGATCTACATTTATATCTGTGAAATAAACCATTTAAGCAGTAGTGTGCTGCCCCTTCCCATAACATCTGACCCCCTTATGTTCCTTGTATAGCTCCCCTCACTCCTGTCTCTGGGCTGTGGTACTGCCATTCCTGAGGACAGGAAACCAGGGCAGACAACTGAAATAAGTTTCCAGTGTCATGCAGGCAATCTGTGTGGAACAAGGAGCTGAACCTATTCTGCTGGAGCTGTAAAATTTGTCTTCCTGCCTCAGAGATCATCGTGATGATGGGAGCCACAGTGGAGTCACAGCAGTAGTGCTTCATTCAGCAGAGGTGTTACCTCAGCAGAAATGACTTGGTTCTTCCAGTTGTTTGATACAGGGTTGTTCTTTCATTAAACCCCCTGTGATTGCTGTGGAATAAATTCACTCTGTGTGCCCACTGGGGACTCCATGAAGCCACTGTACAGCATTCAGCCTCAAGAAGTCAGGAGGAGGTCACAGCTTAGATGCTCCTTTCAGATGTCTGTCTGTGTTGAGTTCCTGGGTGAATTATGCCACTTCTTTTGAAGCTCTAGACTTGGCAGAGGGGAGCAGAGTCTGGCCTTTAGGCATCTGGTCACCTCTTGTACAGAAAAACAAGAAAAGGGGGAGCGAGAAAAATCCAGCAGAGTAAAGAAAAATGGAGGAAGGAAAAAGGACAAGGCTACAGGAGGAGCAGATTAGGAAGGAGGATGGGAGGACAAATGGGAGAGGCAGTGGAAGGAAGAGGGATTGAGGAGGTGAGCAAACAGGAAGGTGTAAGCATGAGGTCAAACCTTCCTCTTTCTCTGAGAAATGCTGCTACTTAACTGAGTCACATTTTTCTCTGAAACAAATGCCCTTTTGACAGATTGGTGATGATGGTGGTGCAGACTGTGGAAAGCAGAAGCAATCTTTACTTGCTCTGTTTTAACCTGTCATAGGTGCTGAGGTGGTGTGGAGGCCCTCGTGGCTAACTCTGCAGCAGGAGTGTATTGTGAGGGGCATTGACAAGAAAATCAAATAGGAATGTTCAGTACAAATCCCTTGCATCCATTCAGTTAGGTGCTTCAAAGAAGTCATGTCTTTTCATATTATTTTGCCAGCTTGTGTGAAATAGAAATTATATGATTTGCAGAGCCCAGATAGAAGCATTAAAGTTTTTACCCTGGGAAGAGGTGAGATTATAGTAAAGAGATGTTTAATTCTGTAATTCATTTATAGTGTATCAGCATTTGGACCAAAGGTGTTGTATCACAGGTCCATGAAGCAAATGAGCCAGATTTTGAGAATGAGCTGGATCACTTGTTCTCCAGCAGGAGAATCCTAGAATGAATAAATGCTGGTTTTGGTGGAACATTTTTATATACTCCCTTATTTCACTTCTAGATTTGAACTGCTGCTTTGAACTGGATTTGATAGTCCTTAAATGTAATTTTTGCTGTATTAGCTTGCAAATGAGGAGGTAGAAGATAGTTTTGTTATCTACACACAGATGACATCTTCTAACTGGCAGTGTCTGTCCTGAAAATTAAACAATATCATCTTAGTGATAAAAGAAGGAGAAAGCCTTTGCATTTGTATTTTATATATTGCTACCATCTTACTGAATGCTAAATAAAAATTTTATTTCATCAGTGAACAATGTATAATGTTGTGCAGCACTGACAAAAGGTGACAATTATTTAATGGGGAAAAATGCAACAACGCAGAAGCATTTCAAATATAAGTACAAAGAGCAGAGCATCTTTATCTTAAAGGAGACTGTAAGGTAGAGTAAGAACTATGCAAATAGAGGCCTTGTGGAGCTGCTGCCTGAGCAAAGACAAACTTGGACTGGAAGGGCTTCTGGTACACAAAGTCTAGCCTTGGATCAGACCCCTAGATGAACCTATGGAGCTGGCAAACATAATATTAAAACACTACAGGAAAGTGAAGGCAGTTTCCCTCAGCCTTTATTCCACTCATTCTTTGTCAGGATCAATAAAACTGGATTGAAGTGATATTTGTCAGTAGTCAGAAGTGCAGGAGATAGATGACCACAGGTGATGTTACTTTCAATATGTTGTAAAGAGGGAGGGAGATGAGAAGCAAATGCAGGTTGACTGACTTTCAAGTCTGCCTGCTTAACTAAGATACTCCATGCTCTGGGAATACTGGTGGAGTGATTTAAAAGGAAAAAAAATTCTGGAGACTAATAAAGCCTCCATTTTATTATCATATGTCTTAGTTAATTGAGAGCTTAGAGCTTTTCCAAAGACATTTATGGGATTCTGTTGCTGGGCAGATTATATCTTTCCTGAAACAGAGTTGCTGTTTCAGCCTTTTAGTTGGAAGAGGAGTCACTGCATGAGTTGCTGGTCTTCACAGAACCTGTAGGAAAAAAAAATGGTTACCTAAAAAAGCCTTTCCTCTGATTTGGCTGGTTTTGAAATGGACTCAAACCATGTTGGAGAACAGACACCCATCCACATGGTGTGTCCTGTGTGATTTACTTCTGCAGGAACCTGCAAAGTCAAATAGGAGTTAGTTTCTAGATATGAAAACCCAGTGAAAAGAAGAACTGCAAATAGAAATTGTACTGGTTTAGAGATAGCCTAAGAAGACTACTTCATGAACAGCTTGCTTTGGCAGCAGTCACATTGGCTGAAAGAAAAACAAAATAAAATAGTACCTTGTAGACCTTCCTTAACAGGGGTTGACAGGCTGGTATTGTGTTAACCCAGGTCTGTTTCTCGAGTTGGATGGATGGTAATTGATTTGTTTTCCACTTTTAATACACTGTTTTGAGCACACCTGATTGTTAAAAGTTTTAAATGAAAAGCTGTTCAGAAAATAAGTGCTTAACATTTTGCCTCCAGCCAACAAGAAGAAAGAGAAAGAACGTCCTGAGATCTCTCTTCCTTCAGACTTTGAACACACCATTCATGTGGGATTTGATGCCGTCACTGGAGAATTCACAGTAAGTAACTGCTGTATTTTGTGCTTACCAGAACTTCTAGTTTCTTGATGGTAAAATAACCTCCTATTGCCAGAAACATCAGATCACAACAGCCAGGCTGTGAAGAAAGAGACTTTTATTTGTTTGGCTTAGGATTTGGAGTGTTTAACTTGTGATTCAGGCTGCCTTTTTTTTTTTTTCTCCAAGGATTGTCAGCAGACTGTCTGTGGGAAATGAAAACTAGGAAGAATGTAGGTGTATGCTTTTACCAGTCCCCCAAGCTGCTACAAGGGTTGGTTATTCAGTGTCATTGGGAAAATAAAAAAAGCCCCCCGCCACATAACTTAAGTAGACAACCAACCTCAAGTGCATTGTCCAGCTGCTCTGCAGGAGACACTCAGAAAGCTGCAGCACTGTGCAAGTCCATTCATTTTAGTTTAGTATCCTACAAAATATATTTATACACTAGGTGATCAGTGTTTCTAGCCTTTATGTATTAATAAAATAGCTGTCAGCTTTTGCTTTTCGAATCTCAACAAAGTGTTGGGGAAAATGAATCTGATGGAAGCTCTGAAGTGTACAGGGGGCTCCAGAGCATTTTTCTCTCTGATTACTAGTAGGGTGCTGAAACCATTGTTCCTTAAAGCCGAGATGGCAGTGAGCTTACCTTTCTTTAAGCTGGGGAGGTGAGAGGGAGCATTAACAACTCTGCTGTCACCCGTCGTGCCCATGAACTGAGTGATCAGACTGAGTAATCACTGTTGTGGGCTGTGCTAGTGCTGACTGGCTGCATACACCAATAGGATGGGACAACTCATTTGCCTGGACAAAGGATGGCTAATTTTCAGAATTTGAGCCCTAAATGTGATTTCTTCATAATTTTATACTTTGATTGCTACTTTTGTTTCACAAAAACGTTTCAGAAAGCTGGAAACTTTCTGTGTCCTACAGTAGAAATTGTAACAATAGGAATAACAGTAGGAGAAAAAAGACACATTTAATTACAGCATGTCTTCAAAGGAGCAGTGAAATTGAATTATCCTTAGTAATTAGGAAATACAGCTACATTTAAAATAAGTGGTCTAGTTAATTAGAATTTTTAAAATAGATGTCATAAAATCTTTCTTCGAAATTTATTCTGTGCCAAACCCTAGGGCTTGACTAAATGCATGTTTAAAAAGTCCAGATGTGGTCATTTTTGATCAAAAGCTTTGCATAAAGCTTTTAAAATTGTGTTTTCTCTGGTGTCTATCCTGGTTTTTCCTTTTTTTCCTCTCTTTCTTTCCCTGTTTCCAATTTATTGTTCAGGTTAATCTTCAGTGCCATTCTCCTTATCTTTATATCATAGTATGTTACTTTATGCTTTTGTTTCTCTCCTTTTTATGTTTGCATCACTTCTTCTTGTCTGTCTTCACTTCCCACTTTCCTTTCTTTTCCCACTGGACATTCAGCTGTTCTTATTTTTTATATGTTCTTCCTTTCAGCCTTCTACCTTTATTTCTATCCTGTGTTTGAGAATTTTTCCTTCTGACTCCAGGCAAACACAATGGGTCACACTCATGTTCTCTCATAATCTGACTGGTGGTCAAGGTCTTGGTTAGTTCATGTCCCTGCCAGCTGGAACAGAAAGGAGGAGCATCAGGCTTAACACACTTCAGTTCTAAGCACAAGCACTCAATATCTGTATTTTAGGGATCAAGGTTTGGATAATTTTGAATGTTGTTATTATCTACCAGTATTTCAAAACAGTCTCTAGCATCAGAGACCTTTTGGGCTTTTTGCTGTCAGATGTCACCAACACAAAGCAAATCAATTCTACATGGCTAAATAGGTCCAGCTTTGTTGCTGTAGCAGTTTATTTTTAAATACCTTTTTCCCTTTCGAAACAGTTGGACGTGAGGTGTCTGCTGGTTTGCAATTATCCTTGTTCCTGAAGTGTGGAAGTGCAGTGCTGCAGTCTGAGAAAGCTGTAACCAATTCAAAACTAACCAAAAGGACAGGTGACTTCCCATGTGCAGCTTTCCAGCACAGGGCTTAATCCTGTAGTCCTCAATGGAGCCCATCATCAATCAAAGGAAGGGATTTTTTGCACCATTAAGAACTAGATATTAGTCCAAACTAATCCCAGATGCAGGCACTACATTACACAGTACATTAGGCATGTTTGGTTTGTCCCAACCTGGATAGAACCTGTGTATCAGCTGGGTAGTCATGTGGTAAGTACGTCCTGCAAAGGGACTGCCACTTGCCCATACCATGTTCTGATATTCCCACTGTCCAGTGGTCACACTGTCTGCCTCTTTCAAAAGTTTGGAAGTGCCATGGGAGTGTCCAATCAATGTGCAAACATATGGGTTTTTTGTTCTGAATTACTGCAGCTGTCATGCCAGTAGTGCCTGCTCTCCTGATTATATGCAATGCATTGGGCCATTTTCTGACACCAAACCATCGCCCCCAGCTGCATCCCTGGATTGCTGTTAGATGCATCCTAATGCACAGTTGCATGGGCTCCTGAGTTCTGGCTTTCAGGCTTGAGCACCAACCTGTGTTGTCCATTGTGAAAAAATATTACATCTCCATTTCATTGTGCTTGGAGCAACCACATTTGCTAAGAAATAGGGCTTTTAAAGTGGAGAATAAAATTGGTTGGAACTGTTGGGTGGGAGCATGTTGCTAGAGCTTTATGTTCCTTTATTTGAAAAAGGAGTTGCACTTTCTGAATGAAGGACAGTGTGGTTAGCAGGCCTCTGGGGCGTGTTTTTTGTAAGGCATGCATGTTTGAAACCATTTCCTCATCCCCAACCTAGAAGAAAATGTGGTCACCCACCAAACTTTTAAAGCTTCTAGATTATGACATTAGTAAGTTAGAAAAGTTGTGGCTGTAGATCCCAAGAAGTTGCACGTTCCTAATCTAATCAAGCATTTCTTTACAATTGTCCTGATTTTCAGTCTGACACACGCAGATTGTTTGTGTTGTGGCAGTGCACAACCTCCCAGATTTCACAATCTGACTTTGACCATCTGCTGTCTTCACTGGTCAAATGGTGATCTCAGGGCTGGAGAGCACCCAAGCTTAGAAAAAACTTTATAGAGACATTCAGAAATGGTAATCTGG